ACGGGGGTGGGGGCAGCCGCCGCTCAACCTACATCCACGTGGGCGGCCTTGTACGCAAGAGGTTCTGAACAGGGGGAGTTGTAAGGAAGAAGATTAAAAACGAATTTAAGATTTTTTTGTTTTTTTGGTTTTTCGCTTTGGCGCTCTGATATCATGTGACAATATATATATATATAGAGAGAGAGAAGGGGGAGGACTTTGCCAAGCTGTCCATTATGTGATTCTGACACGTGCTACTTCGTTTTTCTTTGCCTTTTGCCTTCAGGAAATGTTCCAAGATGCACGCCCGGCATTATGGCTCCCATGTCAATGCTACTCCCGACAAGTCCCCCACGCGAAGAGCAACTGCCAAGCAGATTGAATGCTGATTGTTTCATTCATACAATGCAAAACCTGCTTAACATCAGTGGCACTCCTATAGTTGGAGGCGACTTCCAACAACTTCCCCGGGCCAATCATCAACGACATCATCCGAGCCCATTAAACTGAGACTCACCCACACGCGCATGCACTTGCATACATAGAGTCAAAACTCAACAAGTACGCACGGGGCATACATGCAAGATCGCTTGATCACAAACATATTCAGAGAACACAGCAAATAAAGTCTGAATCGGAATCTTTAGCATAAACATCAACGGGACAACGGACAGGATTTTCTCAGTTGGCGTGTATATGTAGACTCGATGGACGTTCTCACGCACTTAGGGCAGGTCCGTGATGTTTCCTGCATTTCTTCATGTCTCCAGTACTCCAGCTATGTTCGCACTCGGTCCACAGGATATCTGTTCATCCTGGTGATGGCGTGGATGAGTGGTAGTTCTCACGCTGTAGAAAGGGAGGAGGTACAGGCCTGTGGCGTGATGCCGGCGGTAACTCCTATTGATCTGCCGGGACGCTGGCTCCTTTCACCAAGAAGGCATGTTTTGGCGGTGGGGTCCGTGACTTCGCGGGCGGCCCTGTCCACGTCTGCGGCGTCGTCAGCTGCGTCGTCTGCGCCCTCATCAGCTGCTCAGTCCTCGGGTGTGCCTTCAACGGCTCTGCCGTCGTCCGCTGCTCCGTCGGCCCTTCTATCTTCTACGCCTTCGTCCGCTCCTCCGCCCTCAGCTAAGTCTTTGTCGGCTCCATCACCGTCCGCGGCTTGTTCGGCAACGCCCTCTTCTTCCGCTTCGTCAGCTGGTCCACCCGCGGCTGCGGCTCTGCCTACTGCGCTCGCGTTTACGACTTCGTCGGCAATTCCCTTTCCTACGGCTTCGCCAGCTGCTCCGCCCTCGTCTGCGGTTCCGTCAGCTGCTCTGCCTTTGTCTGCGGCTTCGCCGGATGCTCCACCCTCGTTTGTGGCGTCGCCAGCTCTGTCCACTTCAGGCCCAAAGCCGCAGTCGGGGTTCGTTCTTTCGAATACTGCTTTGCTTCCCTCCAGCAGAGTGGTGTGGTTTCACACTGCCACTCCTCCGTTCCTATTCTCAAGGGCCACAAAGCTCTCCTGCGGTTCTTTCGTCTATGACTTGGCCTTCGCCGCCCTAAGTACGGCATTTTACGTCGTACTGGGAGAGTACTGCTTCACGCAGGACGTTATCACTCGTCACCGTGAGTCGTTCTGGAAAGCAGATCTCGCTCAAGCAAATCACGATCCTAATGGCCTCGGTCACGAGGAGCTACTCAGCTACTGGTGGCCGTACGTCGAGGGAAGCGGATCAGCTGAGCAGACACCATCTATCCAGTACCCTGGCTTAAACGACAGCTCGTTGATGGCCAGCGTTGATGCCATGGTTCTGTCGCGAACGGAGGAGAGCCTTATCGTCTTGTCAAACCCATCTGTGAACCCCGAGCGTGCTTACTCCACGATCTCCACGTTGTCGACAGAAAATGGCAGTAGAAGTTCCAAGTCGTTAACGGTGACTGCTGCTGCCAGTTTAACTTTCAATCCGAACAAGACGAAGTTGTACATAGCTTTAGCTCATGGCCCCGTTCGTATTCTATCCACTCCCGTGGACGAGTCAGGGATACCCATCGATGGCGCGCAATGGAAAGAAGTCAGAACATTCTCTCCCGGCGACGATCACGATATCAAGGCTGTAATGTTTAGCTCACAGAGCTTTGTTTCAGACGAGCGCTGCCTCTATTTTGGGGACTCTGAGAACCTTCGTGTGTGGGGAATCGATCCCCTTGCCTCTGGCACCCCTGACCCGGTGCTCGTCGCTGGATCCGGGGCGAGAGGACTGGTTGATAAGGACGGATTAAACTCGTCCTTCAACAACTTGACAAACATCGTCGCGACTCCCGACGGATGCAACGTCTTCGTCATCGACTACTACTACGGTGTGCTTCGCTGGCTTCAGCTGGACTCGCCGTGCTCCCTGGCTCGCAGTGTGACGACGGTAGCAAGTTACAGCGGGTTACAAACGCTGAGACTCCGTCAGTCCGGCGACGACCACTGCCTATACGTCGGGGCGGACGATGGCTCGGTGACTGAGCTGAAAATAAACGTCTCTCACCTGCACTCTTGCGCGCCTCGACCGCCATCGCCAGGCGGCGACTCCTCGTCTTCTTCTAACGCGAACGGCCCCGCTTCTGCCTCTTCTCCTCCAACTTCGGCCTCGCCATCCGGCGAGCCCTCCGGGCCGAAAACAACCCCGAGGGGACCTCGCAATCTAGCTTTAACCGTGGGTATCCCGCTGTCTCTTCTCGCATTCCTTGGCCTGGCCGCTTGCACAAGCTTCCTCGTATTCAGAAAGTCTCGGCGTGACCGCGAAGAGGAACAGCGGAAGATCATCTCGGGGACCAACGGTAGTGGTAAGTTAAACACGATTCCAAGGGCTGGTTCATCGTCAGGGGCAGCCGGGATCGAGCGGGGGGACGAGGGACTTCATCCGTCCCTGGTCAAGGAGTTCTCTCTCGAAGCTCTGTCCCATTGCACTCAGAACTTCAGCGAGAGCTACCGCATCGGGCCGGGGGGGGCGTTTGGTAATGTCTACTGGGGTTCGACGGATGGAAACAACGAGTTGGCGATCAAGGTGATGACAGGCAGTCTGACAGCGGAGAAGAGAAGCATGTTCGTGGCGGAGGTTAACACGCTGAGTAGAGTCCATCACGCCAACCTCATCCGACTCGTTGGATACTGCCACGAGGGGAATCGCTCGATGTTGGTGTATCCCTACGTTCCAGGGGGCAGCTTGTTTGCTCGTCTGCACGAGAGAGAGAAAGCCGTTCCGGGGAAACCTTCCATCCCGCCTCTAACGCTCGTGGAGCGGATGTCCGTCGCCTTGCAGATCGCTAAGGGCCTAGCCTACCTTCACGAGGGTGCCGATCCACCAGTCATCCATCGTGATATTAAGAGCAGCAACGTGCTCCTTGGCGATGGCTCCGGGGAGAAATTGCACGTCGTGGTGGCGGATTTCGGCCTTGCGACCATGGGAGAGAGAGTGTTCGGCACGCAGCGTGAGACGGTGGTGAAGACCTTGCAGATGGCGGGGACGTTCGGTTACATGGCCCCGGAGTACATGATGGGAGGAATTCTCTCGGACAAGAATGACGTGTACGCTTTCGGCGTTATCTTTCTGGAGCTGCTGACGGGCCGGAGGGCCGTGGCGAAGGCACCGTCTGGGGTTGGATGGGTAACCCTAGCGGACTGGGCGAAGCCGTTACTTAGTAGGGTTTCCGTCGGTGTCGAGATGCCGTGCCAGATTTTGGACCCCTGTTTGCGTGATCAGGCGGCGGGATTCAGGTTCAGCCGTATGGTTACGGGGACGCTTGATTTGGCGAGCGCGTGTCTCCGGGAGGACGATAGAGCAAGGCCAGCGATGAGCGGATTGGTGGAGAAGATAGGCAATCTGCTCAATGAAGCTCAGATCAATCTTAGGATAGCGAACCGGTAATCGCATACGGAGATGTCATTATGAGAGAATTGATCCCAGAACGGGCCATGGCGATCCCCTCGGTTACTGGGGGTTAGGAGATTCATCGCAAGCGACAGCTGTCGAAGAAGAGCCTGCTCTATGTGTAGTGGACTTGTCGCTTCTACTAGAATAATGGCCCAGGAACCGGTTATCGATGATTAACAGTTTGCAGGACAGGATGGGTTCGATGGATCTGGCAAGAAGGGACTGATGGTGTACCTGCGGCAGCAGGCCCACTCTCGCTGAGAATGGTAGTGGTGAGCACAGTGGGATGGATGTCGCACGTTCACCATGGACAGCACTCCGACGTCGACGCTGAGACAACCAAGCTGAATGAATCACGAAAAGACAACTGTATCCTGAGCTGGGGCTAGACCCTAGCAGGCAGGCAGGGCCTGCAGCCCGGTCCTATGCAGTGGGGCCAGGCTGAGGGCCTGGTCAGGCAGGCCCATAACAGGCAGGGCCTGAGTAGTACGGCTACTGTACCACTTTGCGTTGTGGCAAGAGACGGCGAGGAAAGTGACAGATGGGCAGGAGGTTAATCATGTAGAAGGGCATGAACGATGATGGCAGGAAGACTGGGGGGAGGTGCCACGGGTGGCATAAAACTGGATTTATGGTGGGAAAACTCAGGCGATGAATGGTGAGCGGAAGGGAGAGAAAGGAGATTTAATTTAGTGGCAGGAGGAGGTTCATAGACTCGGACAGAAGACCACGTGTTACAGGGAAGCGGAGAAATACGGAAACAGACGTAGGGATTTACAACGACCGGCGAAGGGTGTAGTTAATTGATAAGCGGAGCGGGAAGGAAAGCAAAGAGGGTTTGCTACCGCAGGGAGGGAAGGGATGAAACGTTTTCGAAAGAGAAGGCCCTCACCATGACTTATGGATACACGAAGGAAGGAAACACGGTAAGTTTCATGGACTTCCTTTTTGTTTAATTTTTCCGAAACTGCGACTGTGCTTGGCCAGTGACAATTGTGGGCGTCTCTGATTGAAAGGAACCCTGGGAAGTAATACTAATATGGTAATCAGGGATGACTGACGGCCAAGCACGGCGCGCTGCAGGTGGGGTCCGGCCAAAAGCTGAGAGAATCATGCTGGCTGTTCCGGAAATGTGTCCCGTCACCGAAGATCATCGAGTCGGACGTCTCGATCTGTAGGCTGGCCGTCAGCTAACGAGAGTTCTAATCGGAGGTGAACATTGACGGCGTTATCGCCTGGGAATAGGGGAAGTGTAAATACTAAATTATATGATCTACCTTCTTCTCCCGAATACAACGTACGGTCATTATAGCTGTATTAGACTGAAAGATGCCCCAAATACAGCTATAATGACCGTGCGTTGAATTCGGGGGAGAAGGTAGTCATTTGTGTGCATAGTGTGTAATGTGTGCAATAGTCGAATAGACGTCATCCAGAATCTTCTATGCCGTAATTGCCTGCCTGAGATAAACCCCAGCAGATTGGGGACTGGGGTTGGTAGGTCCCACCTGGGGCAACGTCCCACTCGCACGGATTAGGACATCTTCCCCGTTGATTTTCGTCATCCACGGTTGATATCTCTCGATTCGGGCAAGGGGATCTAGCCCCTGCTGCAGTTGAAAACCAGGCCTGAACCGACTGATTGTCAGCCAATCAGATGACAGATCTGCACGGTTGCCACTGGTTTCTTTCACAATAGGTCGAATATCTTCTGCTTAGCCTGATGGGACCTCGCTCGCCCCTGGATCTGTTTGCTCGAGGATTCCTCTTTTCTTTGTATCCCTTCGTTGAGTTTTCTGAGAACCGTCTCTGCAGTGAACAGCTGCAGTGAGGTCTCTAGAGAGAGATCCCAGTAGCAAAGAGCATTGGATTAAGCGTCTGAATCTGGACGCTCTTTATGCAGAGATGCATATAAGCAGATCAATTGCGATTTTCTGCGTTGTCCACAATGACATCCAGATTCAGCTTTTCAATCCAAGCCTCTTTGCCAGTGGGATCTTGCAGTAAGTCTTGTAGGAAAGACGACAATAGTAATCAGGAGTAAGTGCGGTTCAGTAAAAAACGTGTTTCGGGTTGGCAAAAAAAAACACGCTCGGGCGAAAGACAGTTCAGATCCTGTCTGTTTAGTACTAAAACAGGATGCGTTTCTTCAGCAGCAGAAAAGTATTAAGTGAAAGGTGACCCTTTGACATCTTCTGAATAGGGCGTCCGAGGGTCTGAATCGTTTTTTGTTATTATTCTTTTGCTGGCAGAGATATAATTTTTACGACTACGGAAGACCGTCTCGGATGTGCAGAGAGTCAGCTTACCCTTGCTTACGACTGCAGTGGAACAGGGGTTTGACTTCCTGATCTTGTTTTCTGAATGGTAGATGATCAAGCTCACGCTGGCAAGGAGCACAAATCTGAAAGAACTGTACCATGGGTTGCAAACAATAAGGGGCTGGCCTTCTTTCAGTAGAAAATTATAGAGTGAAAGCCCAGCTAAGAGAAATGAATTCAAATGATGCTTATATAAATCGGATGTACTTTTGTAGCAACTCAGGCTTTTTGGGCGACCTTTACTTTAAGGTAATCAGGCATCTCACTATTATTTATGGAGGAAATGGCTATTAGAAAGAACAGGGGCGCAATCGTAAGGAGGGAGACGAGGAGAGTTGGGAGTGGCAGCTCCAGTGATCGGTTGTAAATGCGAGCGGGCACGCGTGGACAAGAGGAAAGAGTACAGCTCGCTTTTTTTTCCCCTTTTCGGTCTGGGTGGCATTTCCTCACTTTCCAATAAATGTGTGCAGTATCCCTCCGTTTTTCATGTGTTAGTCATCTTGTCTTGTCCACCACACCGGTCAGTCATTCATCGTTTGTTGAGATCTAATCATCAGAGCTGGATCTCATGAAGAGATCTGATCATCAGATACAGCGGTCGGCTCCGATTCTGAAATCTCACGATCAGATCTGATCATCACCAGTGGTTAACGGGGACCGCCACTGTTACATGCTGAGCCTGCAACAGGCTGCACGGGCCATTTTTTTTCAGTCTGAAAGCCTGAAAACAAGGCCCTACAGGCCCCGTTTTGTTTTCAGCCTGAAAGCCTGAAAACAAGGGGCCTACAGGCCCTGTGTCGTTTCAGCCTGAAAGCCTGAAAACGAGGGCCTACAGGCCCTGTGTCGTTTCAGGCTAAATCAGGGCCTTTCCRGCCCTGAGTRTTTTCAGCCTGAAACTGAGGGCCATTTTCRGGCCCTCATCAGTTCRACCTGCCCTGAAACTCAGGCACCGGACCAGGGTTTTAGCTCAGGCCATTTTTGGCCTATTTTCAATACAACCTTTGTTTGAGCTTCAACCCCAGGGTCTGGCACGTTTTGGCATTGGCAAGAGCAGCCTCCTGGACGGGCCAGCACTATATAAGACTGGCCCGCCCTGCAGGCTGCAGGTAGTGAGAGGTAAGTCGTAGGTACTTCCCAGGCACCTCACGAGGCAGGAGGCAGTAGTAGTCTTCAGGATTCGGCAGCAGCACTCTGGAGGGAGCGCTGCAGGGTAGTAGTAGCGTTAACCTTTAGTCTTCAGCGCTGGGCGCAGTAGGTAGCTGTAGTCTCCAGCG